CCCCCACCTGCCAGAATGTTTTCATTCCAACCCTTCATTCCAAACCTTAAATCAGGCTCAGATGGTCCTTAATAGGCTAATGATGAATGTGGCAGGTTGAAAGCAGTGTGGGCTGGAATGAAAACATTCTGGTGGGAAAGGAGGGTGGGGGAGCAGGAACCAGATTAAGAACCACTCTCTAATGTAAACCCCGGGTATGAAATCCAAAGGGACTGAAGGTGTGGATGTTGGCAACATTGAAAAACTATAGCTGTTAAAAATAAATAAATAAATCACTGCACTCACTGTGTGTGCACTCTAAACCATTCTGGAGAATATTTTAGAAATCCTGAGTGGTCAGGTGTGACGACCTTTGTCCCCATATTTATGCCTACTGGGAGACAGATCACAAATACCAAAATTAAGAAAACTAAAATTCTTAGTTATAATGGGTGTAGTGATTACAGGCTGCAGGGTTAATTTGAGACACTAAAGCTCCAGATGTGAAGGACAATGCAATTCTTACAGTAGACCACTCGCAAAGCATGTTAAAAATGTAAGATCACTAAGATTAATGGTTGTTTATGGACAGAACATCTCTGTGGGATGGATTGTGGACATAAATCAGAACTGCTGAATCACCTGGTTAAATTTAATTTTTATATGTGCCTCTCTTTACCTATCTGACTATTATGCTGATATGTCGGATGTTGAAAAATAAATGTTGCTTTGTATGGCTGTCAATCGCTTTGCCTTTCCTGAAAAACAGCAAAAAAACTTTAACGCAGACAAGCACTCAGGCAAGCCACCGTCTCCATACCCGTTTGGAGAGCAGATCAAAACACAGCTTGTTCTCACTGGTGCCCATATTGATGATGCCCTGGAAGAAGAACACAAGACCTCACCAATGATGCTCTCTGAAAATCCCTCCCCAGGACACCTCCATGCAAGCATGCAAACGGGGCAGGAAGCGGGAATCCAGGAGCGCATCTATAACCTACGTCAGGGTTGCTGTTGGGGTCGTGCTTGTCAGCATGGTACAGGCCGTAGCCTTCCTGGATGACGCTCTTTTGCTGCCGGAAGCTACTGCCACGCCGCGAGAGGTAGATGCTATGCTGGGCTCTTCCTGGGTCCAAGGTAGGCAGTTCTGCATCCCAGGTAGGCTGGTTGGTGGGGTGGAATGGATCAGGGGGGCCAGCAGACCCCGACCGAGTGGCGGTGAGGGCGCTGGCAAAAATTGCGAAGAGGCGGAGCTCGTGCTGGCGGTCCAGCCGCTCCCGCCGCTGCTCCTGCCGCTCCCGCCGCTCCTCCGCCTTCGCCTCGCGCTCCAGCCGCGCCTCCTCCAGAGCCAGAAGCCGCTCCTCTGCCTCCCGCTGCCATCTCAAGAACCGCGCCAATGACAGGTCCAGGGCGTCCCTCCGCTGGCCACAGCCGCCGGCTCCCCCGCGGCCCAGCCTCCTTCGTTTGCGATGGCGGGGGGCTCCTCGGCCCTGTGGCCGCTCCCTGTCAAAAGCCTCCCCGTCGGGCTCTTCGTCCACCCCCGTTCGAGGATAGGAGGCCATCGACCATCCCGTGCCAGAGGAGCCGCCCATGTTCTGATCACTGAAACCTGGGGACAGAAAGTCCAAATGAGTTCACCGTCTGCCGTTCATTACACACAGCTCACCCAGGTCCCACAATGAAACAGTAATACGGGCCTGCACTGACTTTAGACTGAAGACAGACATTTGCTTTTAAATATTTAAACCAGCCTTTGTATATTCTCACTGCCGACCTGACACATAGTACACTTTACTCAAACATATAGTTTTAATATCTCCAAAAGATATTGCTGCAGGGGAATCACAATAAATCAAATCAATCCAATACTTGAGTATAACAACAACAACAACATGGACGATATCAGTTTGCCTTAATGACAACTTTCCAATCTTCTTGACATTTTATGCACATCATTTTCACTTAGGAAATTGTAGTTATCACCATAAAATCTATATAATTTAAACCAGTTTGTGGCATTCTTACTTTCAACAAAAGCGTCCATGTTTGTGCGCAGGTTTGCAGACAAGCTGACCCTCCCAGTCCAAAGTCTATGGTTATCTTACAACCCCTATTTGGATGGTCATTTCTTACACTCTCAGCGGATACTGCTATTTTAATAACCCATTTCAGGAGATGCATACCAACCTATCCTTAAATAAGGACAGGGTCCAAGTTCTAGTGTATTATAATCGAAAGTGAATCAATCCATAAAATATTCAGTCTGAATGGATTGCGGGCCCCGTCAATAACTTCGACCGACTAAATTGGTAGATTATTCTCTACAACAGTGTAATATGGTACCAAATCTATGTATTATATTCATCCATTCATTATTAATTCCGATATTACTGCGCTTTAGATGCCAGTTAGAAGGACTTCAATAATGAAACTAAAAATCACGCCGCCACTGACAGCCCATTAATTCCTTAATGGACTCCTCGCTTGTGATGTAACGGATTTACAGAACGGGAAATGCGGATAACACGCAGCATTTTACCTGAGGGGGAGAGACCGTCTCCCCGCCCCATGTCCGCGGAGTCTTCCCGCTCCAGTCCTAGGGATTTGTGCTCAACGTCGGCTTCCTCCGCTGAGCCGATCTGGTACAGCAGCTCTGGAGGAGGCGGATCAGAGTTCAGCAAACAGTCATCGGAGTCCGCGTCCTCGCATTTAATCTCCAGAGGATCGCCTTGCTTCTGGGTCTGCCCGAATAAGAAGGAGCCCGGGGGCTGCGATCCGAAAGCCGATGCTGGGAGACCGTGCAGGTGGAAGCCGTCTGAGGCAGCGGCTCCTTGGAGAACCTGGTGGGCTATGACCGTACCCCCCAAGGAGGAGTAAGATATGGAGGGTCGGTTTGTGAGCACCCGGTCCATGACCTCGTAGAACTTCCAGGGCCGCCCCCCGCGCATGGTTTTCTGGTGCTCCTTGATGCGCCGGTACTCCAGCTTCATTTTCTTGATCTTCTCCCGACACTGGTCCCCCGTGCGAAGGATGCCCTTTTCCCGCAACACTTCGGCGATCCGGTTAAACACGTGCTGGTTCCGGAGGCAGCTCTCCAGCTCGATTTGGACTGACTCATCCGCCCACAGCTGCAGCAGCTCTACCACCTCTGGATCGGACCAATTGCTGCCCCTTTCGTACTTTTTGCCACGAAAATCCATAACTGCCAAGTGCGTTTACGTGCACTTTTGACTTAAATGAAATGTCAACTACCTGCAATCCTGAAATTAGTTTAATCACCTGTATTAAAGCGCGTCACGCATCTTAAATACAAATGGTTGTGCATTATTATCTTCAAGTAATTTTCCACATATCATGCTTTGTATTCACGACTTCCACCCCACAGACCTGGGGGAAAAAAACTCAATCTGCCTAGTTTGCTACAAAACGTAGTTTATGGTTCAGAAGCCGAGCCAGATGCACGCACAAAAGTGACGCTAAACAGCGGCGTAGTTCTTACTGCGGCTCCGCTCCCCATCCGACACGCGACACGTCCAAACCAGGACTAGAACGGTTCAAATAAACTGTTCTTTCAGAGAAGCTCTACGCCCGCACGCGTTAAATAAAGCAATTTTTTTATTTAGTGTTGGGGCATAAAATGGGCGAAGAACTGGTAAAATACTACATCCGGGTTTACGGCACATGCGTGCTGTCCTTATTCCGGGATAACTTTGGCCCGTGTCAGGCGCCGGCCAAGCGAGCCGAAGCGGCTCATCGCGAGCAAGTTAGAGAAGCGAGCGAACTGCCGAGACTGAGGCGGCTCAGCAGCGCCCCCTAGCGTAAAATCAGCTCCGTGCCGTTAGCGATTCTCGTGAGTTTCAAATGAGAATCAAAGCCGAACGACTGTAGCTGGAATTTAATCTTTAATTGTAATGTTTTCCTTTGCTGGATACTGCTGGCTGGTTATGATGGTAAAAAAGTTTCACAAACCGGCAGGAATGAAAATCATAGTATGAATTAAGCATCTCTTAACTGCCTGCAAGAACGCAATAAAAGTTACATATTACATTGTTAATTTCGTCTTCTGAAATATATATAGGCCTATTGTATTTTTTGCCCTCCCTCCCATCATACACATATTCCTTTTGCGTTTTGGCTCCATTTGTTGTAGGGAACACAGATATATTACCAGTAATCAAATACTACGCTAGATTTAATATCTCCACCAGTTCTTGCGTATGGATATTACAAAGTGCAAGTAAAATGTCTTTGACAGTGGCGCCGCCAGGCCCTTGTTGGACAACAAACAATAATCGGGTGGTCCAGAAACGTTCTCAGCATTGTAAGCTTATAATGATCACTGACAACAGCAGAACCAAATTTAACATGAGTGTCTGGAATTTCCAGGTTCACAGTTATTCCCAGATGTGCTTTAACGCACAGTCTAATTCAGGCTGAAGTCCAGGGACATACACTAACAAATGGCCTTAACTAATGTTGCATAATTAAATTTGCTGTCTACAGCTTTGGGTAGTTAAGTTTGCCAGGCTGTTTGAGTATTGAAAATTATTCTGATGCAGTGGCTTCATAATCAATTGCCAGGCTTGGCTTCAGTGTCAAGGTACAATTACTCGATCATTCTATCTGAGCTAAATATTCAAACACATCAAGTTCAAAGATCAGAGAAGACAAGAAAAACAATTTTCCAAACTGAAATAAGCAAAGAACTGCTTTGGCATGCCCTTGTATAATGGCTGTAATGATGATATTTAAAACAGGTTTAAAAGTTTACTTCAATGTTGCCACAGTCTCTGTTGTGACATCAATCAACTGACAGCAATGTAGTGACAGAGTTACGATATTTTGAAATATACTAAGAACATGTGTCTGCTCTAAAACTTCACAATGTTCTGTTCTCTTTCCCTTAAAAGGAAATGTGCTTCTTGCTACTATGTGACTTGAGTTTTGTTAGTGCTAGAAAAGGGGCTGTTTTGAAGATTTATTTGCTTTTACTTCGTGATGAAAGTATCTAAAATACGGACTGCATTTCAGCTTGTGTAATAACCATGAGCACATATCATTATTTTATCATTTATCACTGGAGAACATCATCTGTGTGGCTGTGACCGTTCCAGGTAGACAGTCCATCAGGAGACAAAAAATAAACAGTTATGGCTGGACCCCATGTCTGCAAACAAATGTGCAAACACACCAATCTGTGAGCAATTCACAGAAACAATGCAGATCAAGGCTGCAGGGTACAGCCAAACAATACAAGTGCATGTCAGATGACTTCCTGGGCCTTGTTAAGAGCTATACTACTCTTGCTTATTTACCACCAATTTACTCCCATAGCTCACAAACCTGACAGCAAATATCTCCAGTATCTATCTCAAGATATTCTGGCAGGACAAAAAGCCTCCAGAGGGCTGGACTACTTGTGTGTGAAAGTATATTTGTAGGCAGTACTGGTCAGGGCCCATGTGGAGCCCTGGGCAAACTTTGTCTCGGTTGGCAAAAGATGTCACCGGGGTTGATGCCCTCAGAAAATGGCACCCTGGACAATTGCCCGTCTTGCCCCGTCCAGGATCCACCCCAGTTTGGAAGCGACAGATGCAGTGTCACGTAAAGCTTTTAGCTGAGGCTGGATAGATTCAGCCAATCAGGGCCTAGGAATCAGCAAGGGAGCGGAAGACGCCTGGACCCCCGCCCCCCCACTATGCCGCCATGTCAACATCGGTCAAGCCTTGTGAGGACATACACACTCCTCTGCTGACCATGCAGGGGCCGACTGGGCCTGCTGGTTCCGGCTTTAAAAGGGAGATGGACAAAGGGCACGAGGCATTCCGGTCTCTTCTGTGGAATCGGAGAATGACGACGCAATAACATCTATATTTGGCTGTCCCGAGCACCCCCAGCACTCCGAGCACCCCCAGCACTCCGAGCACCCCCAGCACTCCGAGCACTCCAAGCACCCCCAGCACTCCGAGCACCCCCAGCACTCCGAGCACTCCAAGCACCCCCAGCACTCCGAGCACCCCCAGCACTCCG